ACACACACACACACACACACACACACACACACACACACACACACACAATGTCATCATTTAGATTGAACATTTAACTGTTGTTACTTTAACATCAAATGAAACATTCATCAAAACAAGTGAAACAACAAAAAATGATCCTGGTGGAAATCAAAGTAATTTCTCGATCACAGCTTCGCACCATCATTCATAACCCATTATAATCTCCTGTTCTCATCTGATTTTCCAATAAATCAAGAGGAGCCAAGCTTGGACGGTTAATGAGAAAAGACTTGGACATGACCTATGACCTCTGCTTCATACTGCATCACAGCTATTTGAACTTTATCCATTTAAAAGGAAACACAAAGACACATATCAGCATCAGAAACATTTATGATCAAAAGTCACTCAAACTGGAAATTTTTTCACTCTGTTGTTATTTTACAGATCACAGACACACACATTTAAATTCTTTGTTTGATTCCACCAATTACATTAAGTATGGCAGGGAGTCAAATGCAAAAGGGTCAAGAAGACAATACTGGTCACTCATGGAAATACATAGCATCTTCTCCTCCATACAGCCAAGCTGCTTATAACAGCAGAAACAGAGCAGAATTTAGCAAGCTTTTTTGCTCTGCATTTAGATATGCCAGCAATGTTCAGGCCACTAGTGATATAGTACGGTGATAAGACACATGAAAGCAAAAGTGTCCAGCGCATCTTCTTAAATCCCTACTGCATTAACGATGTCGGTTACAATGGGCATATGTGAGTGGTAGATGTTAAAAAATCACCGTGCCACAGAGAGCAGCACACTGAGCGTGCGCCACCACCGGAAGCACACACACACACACACACACACACACACACACACACACACAAGCCCAAAATACAGACACATGCACAAACAGTCCGGAGAATCAAACTCCTCTCCTCTATCAACATCCGTCCCTCTGAAATTTACACTGCTGGTATATTACAGCTGATAGAACACTGATTAGACAGTGTACTACTCTATTGGTATTTATCACAGATAACAACCTGTTCAATCAGTTAAATTACTTTTACTTTATTATATAGGACAGTGTCAGTATATGTAAATGTAGTTCTTGAGAACAGAGTTTAAATCTGCTGCATCATGTTAAAAGTTTCAGAGCTGTAGAATGTGCAGCTGTCACGTCAGAAATAAACTGAGTGGTGAAATAAATATACTAACTTGTGAAGTGATTAGTAATGGTAATGGAAGTATCCCTTTCTCGACATGTTGAATGCATCATTTGACTTGTTTAATGTGAGCACATACAGAGTCTAAAGAAGACAGCCTGGGTGAACAGAGACAGTTGATAACCACCTTCATTGTACCTGTTATCTCAGACTGAGGCTTTAGGGTTTGTAGATCCAACTCAGACAAAGAGAACCTGACTCTGTGGAATTTGCCTCATGGTACAGCCCTCTGGACCACCAGCCCTCCAATATCACAAGAAA